TTTCCAGCTCTTCCTGGGGGATCCCGAGGCGTTCCCAGGCCAGCCTAGAGATATAATCCCTCCAGCGGGTTCTGGATCTGCCCCGGGGTCTCCTTCCAGGTGGACGTGTTGGGAAGTCCTCCAGAGGAAGCCTCTCCGGAGGCATCTGAATCAGATGTCCACATCACCTTAACTGGCTCCTTTCGACACGAAGGAGGAGCAGCGGTTCTACTCCGAGCTCCCTCTAGATGTCCGAGCTCCCCACCCTATCTCTAAGGCTGAGCCCAGCCATCCTGCAGAGGAAGCTCATTTCGGCCGCTTGTATCCGTGATCTCATTCTTTCGGTCACGATCCAAAGCTTGTGACCATAGGTGAGGGTTGGGACGTAGATGGACTGGTAAAACTGTTCAAGAGTGATGGTAAAAACGGACTAAGGGATCCGCATGGGAAACTTCTTCCACATGAACACGGCGATACAAATGACAAACTTTCTGGAACATCGTTGTGTGTTTTGACCCTCTTTAGACAAAGAATTTCCTTTTAATGAGACCGAAGTCAGATTTCCAAAAACACATCACCGACTCTGTCAGTTAGACCAAACAAGTATTTTATGTTGAAATATGTTTATTTTATGTTTTTGATTATATATTATGTTCAGACTCTGCTCTTGATTTCTGTCATATTTTCATCGTTCTCTTTGTTGTGACTCATAACGCCACACATAGTTCTTGTCCAGGACAGAATGTGAGTGGGTGGGAGGCTGTTTGTGTGCTATGAAGGCGCCTTCAGTGAGACAGGCAGCCTTCCATCAGATGCCACTGCAAATGCTCCATACATTTCCATTCATTAGTGGCTGCTTCTGTTTTTTGTAGTGCTTCGGTGTCTTAGCAAACATTTGCACAAAGCAAGTGGTATATTTTCTGTCCATATTTACTTAGTTTGGATAAATTTAAAGAGAGGCATCCAAACAGATGTTAACTTGGAAGTTAGTTTTAAAAAAGTGTAAGTCAGCTGACAAAAGGTTGAATTATATGTATTTCATCACTTTATGAGTTTTGATAATGAAACAGCGAGTGAGTGAGTCAGCTGAATCTAGTTTGAATCTTGTTTTAGTCTCATAGACAATGGTTACAGACAGAAGTGTTTTTTTTTTCTTTCACTTTATAAACTCAGTTGCAGCTGCTGCTGTTAATGCAACTTTATACCTGAGTCAGCAGATGATGCTGCTGCCAGTGGCTTGAATAAAATCAAATAAATGCAAGGCCTAAGTGTCAGGAGGTAGAGAATATAGCCAATGTTCAGATTCATGGTTGTCCTTCATAAACGGGTTCTTCAAGCTACAAAAACTAAAATAAAAATAAAAAAGAAGACATGTTGGAGACATATTAATCCATCCATCAATTATCTATACACCACTTAATCCTCACTAGGGTCATGGGGGGCTGGAGTCTATCCCAGCTGACTCAGGGTGAAGGCAGGTTCACCTGGACAGGTAACCAGTCTATCACAGGGCTACACTTAGAGACAGACAACCAAGCACACTCACATTCACACCTACGGACAATTTACAATCACCAATTAACCTCAGCATGTTTCTGGACTGTGGGAGGAAGCTGGAGAACCCGGAGAGAACCCACGCTGCACGGGGAGAACATGGAGACTCCACGCAGGAAGATCCCGGGTGTCCTCACCGGGACGCGAACCAGCGACCTTCTAGCTGTGAGGCCACGGTGCTAACCACTGATCCACCATGCAACCCACAATGCAAAATGTAGAAAAGAAAAAATAGATGTTTAAAGTTGAATTCTTGTAAAATTTTGATCAGAAAAACTACAAATTGCACAGGGAGGGCAAACCCACAGTTTATTTTTGCTGTAGCACCTTCTAGCAGGTCAAACTGATTAAATTTTCCCAAATGATGATGGAACGAGTTTGTTTTCTTGTGATTTTTGGAACAAATCAGAAGGAAGCCTACCTGAGATAACCACTCTCCCATCAGCCTATGGTGATGCTAGTTTAGAATGCAAATCATTCTCTGCTTCGGCTGCCTTTCTCTCTCTGTCTTTGTTGATCGCTGTGATGATTGGGCTGCCCAACTGTTGTTTTTATCGGGGCTCTATCTTTAGACTGGAGCAGCTAAAACACTCCACTTCAGTTGTTGTCATGGGAACGGGATTGTCAGCCTAACGGCACCGGAGTAGTGCTGGTGTGTCGATGATGAGAGTAAGGATGATGATTAAATGACGAGAATAGCGTTGCTATGAATAACTGGATGAGTGAAGCAGCGTTACTTAGGTGTTCCTCAGGATGTTGTGTCAACCACGTTCACGAGGAGGTCATTTTAAGTGTAGTACGAGCTGTCAAAGAGACGTTCACCACCATCAATGGAGATACGCACAATTGTTTGTTGAGAATAAATGTTGTGTTGAATAGAGCTGTGGTGTGGGGATGGTCTCGTCGAAGATCAGTGGCAGCCCCAAACTTTGCTGTTGTGTGTTGGTAGGTGATGTGAAGCCTTCCTCCTAAAGCTCTCTGTAGACCCACAGCAGTCCAGCCGAAGATTTCCTGTGGAAGGATGTCACTGGGAGATCTGTCAGAAATGTGGGAGTGCAACGAGCATTTCCTGCTGCAGTGAGAGAGAGAGTCTGACATTTATTACCAAATGCAACTCATCTTTATGCCAACGGCAGGTTTATGCCCACAGCTTACATCCAGTGGGTCAGACCATTCAGCAGGTCCCTCATGGTCCTCCTCAGAACATTCCTGTACAAAGTGTTGGTTTGACCACCAAACTCAGCATATCTCTGGTAGGACATCTGGAATGATCTGGAAAATCACTTTCCATCCATTAAGGTTCCACTTCATGATTTACGGGACTTAAAGGATATGCTGCAGATATCTTGGTGCCTCATACCACGTCACACCTCCAGAGGTCTGTGGAACCCATGCCTTGAAGGACCGGAGCTGTTTTGGTAACATGAGGGGGACTTGCACGATTTGAGGCAAGTGATTTTAATGTAGGGCTGCAGGTAGCTCGATGGTTAGCACCGTCGCCTTGCAGCTAGAAGGTCGCTGGTTCGCATCCCGGTGAGGACACCCGGGATCTTCCTACGTGGAGTCTCCATGTTCTCCCCGTGCAGTGAAATCTGGATTCTTCAAGGTCTAATTCCAATTAAATGAATATTGAGAGAAGGAAAGAAGACAGAATGATAAATGGAGTCGATCATAGTTGAGATTGATGAACATCAACAGTAGGGTCCAGAAGTCTGAGACCAACAGTGTAGCTACGACATCAGCTTCATCATTTGAGTGAAGAGTTGAATCTCAAAGAAATGCACCATGAGAATCAGAATATCTAAGTATCTGTTAATATTTGTCTTTTGCTCTGGGCTGCAAGGTGGCTCAGTGGTTAGCACCGTTAGCGCCTCACAGCTAGAAGGTTGCTGGTTGGTGTCCCGGTGAGGACACCTGGGATCTTCCTGCGTGGAGTCTCCATGTTCTCCCCGTGCAGCGTGGGTTCTCTCCGGGTTCTCCGGCTTCCTCCCACAGTCCAGAAACATGCTGAGGTTAATTGGTGATTGTAAATTGTCCGTAGGTGTGAATGTGAGTGTGCTTGGTTGTCTGTCTCTAAGTGTAGCCCTGTGATAGACTGGTTACCTGTCCAGGTGAACCTGCCTTCACCCTGAGTCAGCTGGGATAGACTCCAGCCCCCCATGACCCTAGTGAGGATGAAGGTGTAGAGATGATGATGGATTTTAATGTTGTGACACGTAGTTTTGGTCTGAAAGCCCAACAGCGCCACAAGTGAAGATGTTACCTCCATCTTACCCTCATGAATCCTTCTGTGGATGCGAGAGCTTTCCCACTACACAGGAAGTAAGAAAAGTTTGTTTTGGAATGTCAGTTTAGTTGCATAGGAATGCAATTTTTGGGAGACAGGATTGATCCCTGCAGCTCATGGATGGCTGTTGTCTGATAAAGAGTTTATCAGATGATTCTGGCATCCTGCCTTCATTTACTGTAAAATTAGGCAATCGGCCAATCAGGAGACACGATCTTTTCTGAACAGTTACATACCAGTAATACATTCTCAAAGCATACTGCCTCATCCAGAGGGCATTTCTTCCTTCTAGTCTGTCTCCCGACCATGTACAAATTTGGAACAAGTGATGTTGCTATGGCAACAGCAACCTCTCCAATTAAAGCTTTTAGGTAGAGCCGTAGAACAGAAAAAAAAAAACTGAAGAGGAAAGCACCGTTTTCACTTTTAAAGTTGTGTCAGATGGACCGATGGTTCTTCTGCATCGACACGTGTAGGTGTCTGACAAGCAGACAGCTGACAGTAGCTGTGCCGTACGTTGTTAAAGGAGAGGTGTTCCCACTGTACTGCTGACCCAGAATAACTGGAGTGGAGTGACAACGGCATGCAGACATGTCCAGCCACGTTTCACTGTTCTCCCTCTTTGAAGCTAAATACGGAGACGGGTGGTCCAGTAATTGTTTGACAGCGTCGATGCCTGTGCACGTCCATCACTGGCATGGACAGCTGAACACACACACACTCAAACATACACACACACATATTTATACATCTGTACTCCTATGTGTTGATGCTTGCTGGCTTATTCTATTTTTTTTATTTGTAAAATGTTCCTGCGGCTTGGAAAGTTCTGTTCACGACGTCATCACTGCGTAATGTCAAACACATTGCACCGGACAGGGCATTAGTCTTTTTGTGGGACTCAGAATAGACAGTAAAGAAAAAAAAAGACAGAATATAAGGTAAGAAAGTCATGGAATAAATGTGAATATTGAATGTTCTTTATTGTAATGTATTTTACATGCATGTAGTGTGTTAGTGTTTACATACATGTTGTGTGTGTGAGTGTGTGTGGTGGGGGGGCGGCACATGGCTGGGGTCTCTGACAGACTCACAGATACAGGAAGAGAGAGAGAGAGAGAGAGAGAGAGAGAGAGAGAGAGAGAGAGAGGGTGGGAGGAAATCTTCCCAGTCAATCTCAATCTCTCTCAGCCTACACAATCTCCCCACACAACCTCAGGCTCAGTGATGTTGGATACGCTGTGAGACTGAGCTCTAACACACTCTGCTCTTCGAGGACACACAAAGTACAACCCTGGTGAGTAGACCTTTGTATCGGTGTTGCTGTTTGTGTTAATACGGAGCATCTATCTGAGGGGTTTTCACAGGAGGCTGTGTCGCTATGGCTAGACATTATCACTGTGTTGTAAACTACTAATGTAGTTCCTACCGCCATCCAGAGGGAACTTTCTGTTCATTTTGTGCTTAAAGGAGACATCAGGGTCTCTTGATTCTGTAATCTTTTAATGCCTTGAAGTGGTTTGCAGCATCCCAGCCAGGTTTTGTTTGAACTAGTAATTCCCCACAGACAGACAGACACCAGCAGCAGAGGAGCCTCTCACACTCCATGTTGTCAAATGTTCATACTCTTCAGAAATTGTATGAAGATGTTTAAAATGGACATGAAATAGCACATATTAGGGTTTGGCTAACGTGGGCAGGCCCACACAGACGCACGCATATGCACTCCCACATACATGCTGTTGTTCTGCGCTGCCTGCGGAGAACAAGTCACCCAGTGCCCTTTTCCTTCCCACTCAATGCAATCAGATTAACATTTCAGCACGTGTGGCAGGGCTGGGAACAGCTAACGAAGCAGCGCTCATTTTCACACCTTCATCAGCATCTGAAGTCACTCTGCTGCTGTCTTCGTATAAATACGACGAGTACATTCAGCACAAACAAGTTCTGGCGTCTTGTTCTTCTGTACGGAAAGAGATTCAGATGTGCTTCAGATATTTAGAGTGATTATGTGCCCTCATGTGAGAGTTAAATGAGAAGACTGATGTCAGAGCATGGCTAGCCTAGCTTAGCATAAAAATTAAAAGCATGAGTAAACATCTAACGTGGCTTTTAAAATGTACTTGCAAACTGTATTCCTAGCATTTGTAAAAGTCATCAGTTATCACATTAAATCTCTAAGTAAATCCATACACAAACTCACTGCTGAAACTATTATTTCACATACAATAGGTCTTTCCCTTTGGACAGAGCCAGACTACCCATTACCCCTCCGTCCAGTGTTCATGTTTTCAGCCTCTTCTCTGCACTCACACAGACGTTCAGTATTTAGCAGCTAAGAGTCAGTCAGTAACTTATGGATCAAGCCAAACCAGAGGTAAACGGAGAGCGAATGTTCATCTGACAGCAATGTTTACGTGTGTCTGCTATAGGAATGGCTCACACATGAGCAATATTATGACAATTACCAGTTTAAATCGGCCATATGACCGTGTTGTATAGAGACAAAAACACATGACACTGGATGAAAGTGAATATGCATAACTTTTCCCTAGGACGGTACTACAGAGCACAACATCTGGACTCAATGAGACTAAATGGACCACATCTGAGTGTTAATCATGGGCCAGTATCACCGTTGGCAAATTGATGTTGAGCAGAGCATTGGGTAAACTAGTGAAGCCATATGCTGCGAGCCCGGGCACTGTTTATCCTCTTGAGATCAGATTAAGGAAGAAGCAGCAGGGATTAAAAGTCAGGAAGACGACCTCGGCTGAATGGCGAGACAGACAGGGAGGTATTGGGGTCATGTCAGTGGGACTGAAAACCGGCAGGGATCACTCAGAGGGAGACCTGAAGGCTTTTAAACTCTGTGCTAACATTATTTTCACAGTGTGTTTCAACATTCAGATGTGTTTGTGACGGAAGTTTGTTCAGTTCATTCCTCTGCTGCCTGAACAGTGTGTCTTAACTGAACCACGGTTGGATATTTGGTCTTATTGAGCTTTTGTTTAGGTCTTATGAGTTTTAGAAATAGTAAGCTATAGCCTGATTAAGGTAACTAAACTTCAGAAAAGAAGTTCAGTAAAGTTATGCTTTAATCATATTATATATTGACAATTGCTCATATTAAATTTGATGTGGAGAACAGATGCTGAAACCATTTTTTCCTCAAGGTTGCTACAAATGCATGAAGCTGGTCCCAGTTACTTAGATAGTGTTGGACTAAATTCAGTGTCGACCTCCATAAGGTTTTACTTTTTGATTTCCATTTCAAGCCAATTTCCTTTTAATCATCGTTTCGCAACCTCAGAACTGCTTATTTGAAGGAAGACAGTGAAAGTCCTGGTTTTACCCTGATGGTTCCATCACCTCGTACTGATTTTGTGTTTGATCCAAACAGATTTGAAAACATCTCTTCTATATTTCCTGTTTGTCCAGTAATTCAGGAGACACACCTATTGGTTCAGAATACAGGGACACATTTATTGTCGTTCAAATTGCAGGACTTGCTGTATAAGTCAGTGTGGAAATTAAAAATTAGTAGCCTTTCACTATAAACATTTTTTATTGTCTTTTAACCTACAATTATTTAGCCGTTCTGATTTTACAGTGCATTCCAGACTTACCTCAAAGCCTCTAAATGTAGATGTGTGGCTGCTCACAGACTAAAAGTTAAAGTCTGCAAGCCAAGAGGCTTTGGAAGAGGCCCAAGGAAACAGCTTGTGCATGGCAGTGACTGTACTTTTGGCTAACAAGAGCACTGTAATTACTTGAACTACGAGTCCTAATGGCACCCACAGACCAGTGTTGGCTCCCCCCGATTTTATTTATCAGTGACTCTTTTATCCTGCATTATTCAGGCACTGCATCCATCGAGCTGGAGCTTCCTGGGTTTTCTGATAAAATGTAAACTAGATTGTTTTCAGACCAATACGTTTCCTTTATCTCCTGTCAATTAATTCCATTCACACCCTCCGACTGCTCCATCATATACTGAAGATGTAATTGTGTGAACACGCTTGCCCAACAAGACAGTAAATCACCTTCTGCAAACACACATGCAGACTCTCAAACACATGGTGTGAGGCTGGTCCAGCTGTGAGCCAGGCAGCATCTCTATTTTCAGCAGTGCAAGATCAGATCTCCATGGTGTCAACAGGTGGACGAGCTTACCAGCAGCATGACCTTCAGCAGGCCCTGCTTCTTCTTTTTCTTTTTTCTCCTTTCTTTTTTTAACCTTTATTGAATTTATGAAATGGTGCACGTGTACTGTTGTGTCCAAAACACACACACACACACACACACACACACACACACACACACACACACGATACAAGCCATATCAAGCCGTAGCTACACACAGCTGTTCTTCATATTCTAAAAGTTTCTTGTATTGTTCTTGTATAGTTTCTTGTGGTGAATCTCTTGAGGTTAAAACTCTGACAGTGAAATAATTAGAGTTGTGTAATTACAGTTGGATAGCTCTTTGGACTGACGCCGTATGTCACAAGAACACTGTCGATGCTTTAGCATACGGTACTCCTGGTCCTGGTACGATGCAGATCAATATTATTTAACCCCTTGTGCATCCATTAAAGACCTTGAACTCATTATAGGCTCTGTGTGGAGAGAATAAAACCACAGAACCCCATGCACTGTCCTCAGGCACTCATCAAACAAAATGCCTACAAACAACATCACACAAAAACCGCCCCACGTAAAAAGGCTTTAGGCACTGCCTCTGGAAAGGAGCCGTGGATTAAAGGATAGCAGGTAACAGCCATCATAATAACAAGATCTCACAGATAAGAAGATTGAATTCGAGCTTAAAATAGAGGATTGATTAGACTCATTTCTAAATTAAATTGATTTATAGACACTCTGCTGACGTCCTTAACCGATGCTCTCGTCCTTCACGTGACTTAAAGACGGTGTGAGATGGTGCACATCATCTCTTTGCTGGTTTTAGGTGAAGAAATGATTGTGGTCATGGTTACAAGAAGCTATGAAACAGGAAAGCAACAGCAGTCTCTCACACGTTATCATCCTTCCACCTCTGACCGTTTGCCTACAAAGTTTTTCTGCTTGATGTCAGCGAGTGAGATGAGAATGCCGTGGCCGGGTTAGCCGTGCTGTGGGTGAAAGGCAACTTTTACTGAGTGTGTGTGGGTGTGTGAGGGGGCCGAGCATAAATATAAGCATATTCACATACAATACGGCATTTAGAACAGATTCTTACTGATGTGACTGGAAATCTTGTGGACGTTTGCATTGATGCTGTTTGCATGTGTGCAGTACTATAGACATTATTATCATTTGCTTTACAGCCCTGAAGAATTAATCCCAGCTCAAATATAAATAGTTTTAAAAGAGAAGAAGATGCTTTGCCAATAAACGTAATTATAAAACATGCTGGCAGTTATGAGAATGCGTTAATAAATGTAATATGTGAATAAGTTAACTTGGTAGAACGTCATGTAATTCCAATTTAGCGGTTCCAGTTTGAAAACATTCAGCATTGAAAATTCAAATGTTTTATTGTCACATGCACAAGAACACGTGTAGCAGATTGAGGGCAGTGAAATCAGGATTCTTCAAGGTCTAATTCCAATTAAATGAATATTGAAGGAAAGAAAGAAAGAAAGAAAGAAAGAAAGAAAGAAAGAAAGAAAGAAAGAAAGAAAGAAAGAAAGAAAGATAAATGGAGTAGATCATAGTTGGGGTTGATGAACATCTATGCAGTCAAGAGTCCAGAAGTCTGAGACCAACAGTGTCGCTACGACATCAGCTTCATCAGTTGAGTGAAGACTTATATCCGTCTTTTGCTCTGGGCTGCAGGTGGCTCGGTGGTTAGCACAGTGGCCTCACAGCTAGAAGGTCGCCGGTTGGTGTCCCGGTGAGGACACCCGGGATCTTCCTGCGTGGAGTCTCCATGTTCTCCCTGTGCAGCGTGGGTTCTCTCCGGGTTCTCCGGCTTCCTCCCACAGTCCAGAAACATGCTGAGGTTAATTGGTGATTGTAAATTGTCCGTAGGTGTGAATGTGAGTGTGCTTGGTTGTCTGTCTCTAAGGTCAATCAGAGGCGGAAACATAAGTGCAGTATTTGTGAGG